TTAACCAAGTAATTTCTGTTAACTGTGCTAAACTTTCGGGATCTTCCTTTTTAGTTTGATGTAAGCAACGGCCTTTTTTTATCACAACAATGTAACAATATTACAATAGTTAAACTTTTTATTTCATAGGCAAAATCCTAAAAACAAAAGGTTTGGATAATACAACAGTGTATAATATATCATAATACAGTAATTAACTCAGTTACTTAACAAAATGACTAAATACGTTGTAAAAAGCTAAAAAGTGGTGGACTATAAATCAAGTGAGAAGTTTAACAGTATCACAGGCAAATAAACTTTTGAAATGAACTACACAAAAGTTCAGAGAGACATTTTAACAGCATCACTGGAGAACCTTTATAAACAGCTACACAATATCACATCATCAATAATATTTTTACTTCGGTAATAACAATTTCTATTATGTATATGAAGCGGATGAAACTATTAAAAGTGAAAGTCATTTCCATAAGATCTGATATGACTACTACATAAACCTTATTTATTACATACTTACTAATAAATACAGGTTTTTTGTATATGCGATACGACACAATTGCTCTAACCCATATCAGCCCTCGCTGTATCACACCCCGAAACCGGTATCAGCCCCCGCCGTATCACACCCCAAAACCTGTATCAGCCCGCAAAACCCATATCACACCCCTTTTGGAAAAAAACGTTTTTTTTTATATTTCAAAAATAAAAATAAATCATAAGATAGTAGTTTTTATTAGTAAGTATGTAATAAACAGAATAAAACACGCCTTTTTCTATTTCCAAGCGTCAGTATAGCTTAGCAAACCAGTATAGTATACCCTCGACTAATATCAGCCCTTGGGCCTTCGGCCCTTAGGCTGATATTGTAGTCTCGGGTTGATACTGGGTGTGATATGGAAAAAGGCATGTATTATTCTCTATGTATCAGGACGCTTTCAAAATCAAATGGATCTTGATTCTTATGGTACAAGTTTGATGATGAAATTATAAAATCTGGAAAATCTGTTTTCAGTAAACTCATGTGAGCAGCAGATTTTGGATGAGTATCTTGATGTTTAGTTTGATGTCATTTCCCCTAAAGTCCTGAAGTAAAATACGAATCTCTGTTACAAACTATTATAAATAGATCTGAGCTAGTATACTGACGCTTAGTTTGATCTCATATTCTCTTTACTTTTGAAATTAGACAAGTAACAATTTGTAATAAAATCTAAAAAAAATGGTTTTAGGTATTTTGGCGGTTATTTTGATCCCATTTTCTCATTTAACGTGATCAGAGACGTATATACTGGCTTTTTATGTCTCTGACATGATGTATCATTGCATTGTGTGTCTTATAACCAGAAATTTATCTTAAATTGTAACTTTAACTGTATTAAATGGACGGACGAACTGACAGAACTGGTAAGTCAATATACACAGTTACAATATACGACAGGATAGCTATATACATTATAACAAAACATATTAATGTCGTAAACAGTTAGAACCAACTTGTAAAAAGGACGGAATTCATGATTAAATAAATTATTACATCCAAGAGGGACATCCAACATATATATATATAGAAAGCGATTTTGGTCTATTTGTTGTATCTTTGAAGGCCATCAAACATATATATATAGAAAGCGATTTAGTCTATGTTGTATCTTTGTAGATCAATCCTTCACATAATAACAATAAAAAATAGGATCTTCTTTATCACAGAGTAGATTCCCAGACAAATAAAAGTTTAAGAAGAAGGTAAAATCTAACAGACTGTCACAGCTGTTCTCCATACATATTGACATATATGTACAATATAAATGAAAGTGCAGCACACAAAATGTGGTTTAAAATACTTACAGATTATATTAACTCTTACTAAACTTGTAACTTAATTAGTGTGAACATCAACATTCAGCACATACATACAGATGTCTGGAAATATAAAATAGTTTGACTAACGTGTGTAACATTCGAAATGTTTCAAGATGTCAAAACATGTCATCTCTTTATTAAATCATAATTGAAAAAGATTTCCTTCCAAGAAATGTAAAAAATATAGAAACACATGAATAATATCATTATCAAATATGAGATCAGGCTTAAAGATCAATAGGGCATCTTTTACTCAAACAAAAACATATCAAACTTTTATCAAATCTCATTTCTTGTGATAATGTTTTTCAAATATCGAACCCAAGATAATATAAAAGATTGATTTTTGTTTTTATTTCAGTCCAAGATGCCTTTCCTGACATCGAGCATGGACAGAAAACAAGGCAGAAAATTGAACCAAAGGGACGCCGTCAGAAATTTCTAATGTTTTGAAAACAAACTGGAGTGGGGCAAGAGGAGTATCCAATACACAAACGAGAACACATCTTGTAAATTGATAATCCTTTAGAAAGTGAAAAAAAACATTATTTCGCATTTATGCTTATATATCAAGTTTACAGCTGAAATGAAACAATTAATTTCTTTGTATTGGTTGGTGCTCATTAAAACTCTTGTTAAAATTAAATTTAATATTTTGATTTTGAAATAACACAAATATTGCACCTGTATTGGTTTATAAGTATCAATAATACAACATATATGTTCTCAAATATTTCATAAACCACAATTTTAACTAAAGTAACTCTGTAATTTGCCGACATTCATCATACATTCAGCATGTGCTGAAGACAGGAAACCGTTTTTGAATCAATATCTTGATAACAGTGTATAAATCTAAAAATAAAACACTTAAAGAACATTTTTAAGAATGCTTCAATTCCTGATATGCATTGCAATAACTAATTAGAACACAATAATATTAATACAATAAGTATCATTCAAAACATGACAGAATTAAAACAACTACACAACACTTCCAAAAAGAAAAGAAGTATCCCCAAATCTTTCACAATACTACAATATAGAGTTTTATGAGTGCATGTTAAACTACAGCTAACAATTTACTAAAGAAATCTCTGTTCTATCTCAACCATATGCTAGCAAGGTGCCTGTAGAGGTAACATAGAGACCTAATTCTGATTTTCCTGTTGGAAGGTTAACACATCGTCTCCATTATTCGAAATGAGCTTCACCAGTTTGGTACAAATAAGAAATGCTAAGTTTGTTTTGAACACAAACGGCAGTTGGAGATTTATTTTTCAAGCTTTCGAAAAAGTCTGTTTCCTTCATCAAGCAAGTAATATTACCTGTCCCTCTGACTGTCTGTAATATTAGAGTGCTTTTTGGCAAAAGGTCTCGATATTTTACGACAGCTAAATACACTGTTTCAATACATCGTGCCATGTGGCTTCGTGAGTTGTTTTCAGTGGTTTAGAGTGGAGACACCGGCCATTTGCATTTTTTACTTGACAAAAGAAATAGACACTTTAAAAAGTTCTCAAATCAACTTCTCAATCACAGTTTATGTTCAAATCAAACTTGGCATTTAAACTTGGCATTTAAGTTATTGCATTTAAGTTATTCTCCTTTTATCACTGTACCATAAACCAGTACTCTAACTTTGTTACTTGGACTTCAATGTTAAACTTTTATGGTGACACCTGTTTTTGTTTCCAATTTCTTATTTGATATTTCACTTGGGTAAATGTGTTATAATTTGAATAAAAATACAGCTGAAACTGAAACTAATTTTGTCCATGAAACTTTGCTAATAAAAAGTCATTTTAGTAAGATGGAACTTAAAAATGAGTCCCTTTAAATGCCCCATCATCAGCTGTTATGAGGAAATGAAACCAATTGTAATGTTATACAGGTACCCAGTGTTGATTGCCTCAATAGGCACAGAAATTATCTTGAAGGTTGAAGAAAATTTAGAATTCATTAAGAAATATATTCAGGACATTATCAATTCTATCTATATGGAATGATCGGTAAACTTCTAAGCATTTTTACTCTATTATTTTGAATCCGACTTACTGTGTGTTAAATAATCAAAACAGCATGATATTTGTTATCCTAGAAAATTCTACCATGGCACTGAGGTATATAGATGTACACATTTAAAAAATAATGAAATATCAATTCACATGTTTAACATACCCTGTTTTCGTGAAGCAGCTATAGAAAATGATCCTTAGTTAATCTTATAATCAATTTGTCACTCTATATATATTTTGATATATCTAATTCCTTGTAAGCATATTTCGATTTAATCAACAACAATCACTGATAAATCACAAGACAATTTGGATATAAACCAAAATGTATCTAATTGATGTCACAAGTCTGGCAAGTGTGGTAGTAATCTGCACCCCCCCCCCCCCCCCCCCCC